TGATTCTTTTATGCATTATACATTATGTGTTAAGAGTCTGTGCTTCTCGCTTTAGGCTCAGTTCCATAATTCACGGTTAAAGCGGCGAGCACAGACTTATATAACGCATAACACGTAATGCATAAGAAAATGAACCAATCAAAGTCCTTTATTTCTTTCCATTCCATGAAATAAAGGACTCTGATTGATTGATGTTCTTATGCTTCATGTTTTATGTGTTATGCAAGAATCTGTGCTCCTCACTTAACGCTCACAATGCTCGTGGAATCATTTCCTTCTTGTCGTTTCAAATGTTAAACAAAGACAAACGATAATCGCGAGCGTGTGAGCATTATGGTATATTCATACAAACTTGCATATCTGCACAAACGTATGCATAAAGAAAATCGTCTAATCGTATTTTACGTTTGTGTTTTTTATAACAAAAATGTAATTGGATAATTTTCTTTTTATGCATATGATTATGCGGCTATGCAAGTTTGTGTGGAATAGCCCTTAGTGGAACGCAACCTTAGTCGCCATATTGATTCTGGTGATGCGAATGTATTGGAGCGCGTTGAGCATGCTGGTGCGAACAAACCTTTAAGCAACGTCTATGGATTCTTCCCCTCTGATACACGGCATTACACAGGGGCACTCGGGTGATATTTCCGAACGCAGCTGAACATGGCACGAATGCGAGATGCGACGAGTGCAGGCCTAAAATATAAACAATACGACATGTAAATTATATTATCGAATATCTCGATGGTTAACGGAGATGTACACATTGCTGCATGGTTTGTACAAGTATTTGATGCAAAAGGACGAGTACTTCATATTAATTTTAGGCCTCGACAATGCGGGAAAAACGGTAAGGCATTTTCGAACATTCCGAGGTTATAATGTTAGAACTGCAATTATCGATTATTTGTAGACTTACCTCGAGGCGGCGAAGACGAAATTCACGAAGAATTACAAGGGTATGAATCCGAGCAAGATTACGACTACTGTAGGCTTGAACATTGGCAAGATCGACATTGCTGGAGTATCTTTTAACTTCTGGGATCTTGGTGGTCAAGAGGAACTTCAATCTCTGTGGGACAAAGTAAATACGAAGGCATAAGCCTCTTTTGGTTTCAAAAAGTAGGCTTTTTTCATGATTTTTTTCTGGAACATATATATAAGCTACAATGATTGAATTTTTTATTAATGAAAGTACATATATTTTACTATTAATTATATTTTTTAATATTATGTTTCACTAAAAAATATTTTCTTAGGCTTTACATAGCATACAATATTTCACAGTACCAGAAATATCTCTGACTTGATTTATCTGAAATAAAAAATTCAAAAAGAATCTTAAAGTATATTAAAAATTATATTTCCTATCAGATGCTTTTTAAATCTTTAATATACTTTAATTCTTTTTGACTTTTTGTTTCAGATGAACCAAGTCAGAGATATTGTATTTCTAGTACCATGAAACGTGCATGACCTAGGAAGAATGGGATATCCAGTGAAACATAACATAAAAAATTATGATTATTAATATAATATAAAAAAATATGTAATTTTATTTATAAAAAACATTTGATTCTTGTAGCTTACATATCTTTTCTAGAAAAAATAACAATGGAAAAGGCTTACTTTTTGGAGCCAAAAGAGTTCTATGCCTCCTTTTAATATATAATACAAAACAAATAATATATTGTCGTACATTTTTTTTATATTTCTTTTTTTATTTATGGAATTATATAACATTTCTCATTGCACCATTAGTAGCATATAAGATAATTAGATAATATATATGAATTATATATCAGTGAACGATAATATTAGTTTATACTTGCAGTATTATGCAGAATCTCACGCTGTGATTTATATTGTTGACTCATCTGATCGTGATAGAATACCAGATTCCAAAGAAACTTTTGGTAAGATGTTCTCTAATGATATTTTGAGAAATTATTAAATTAGACAAGTTCCAATTGTAAGTAAAATAACAGTATGTGAAACATTTTTAATATTTCAACATACATTTTTTAATAAAACTAAAAGTTTAAAATATCTTTACTTCTTAAAAAATTAAAAATTATTTCCTTTATTTTAATAAGACACACATATAAATATTGCATAAACGGTAAAAATATGTGTATTACATTTTCCTTTTAGATAAAGTGATATCATCTGAGCATCTAATTGGCGTACCATTATTGGTACTAGCAAATAAGCAAGATGTACCTGATTGTATGGGTGTCAGAGAAGTGAAGCCAATATTCAATCAAAGTGCGCATTTAATTGGTAGAAGAGATTGCATGGTGATGCCTGTATCGGCCCTTAATGGGTAAGCAAAATTAGCGCTTTATTTCGCTGATTCATACTATTTATATCATTTATATAATTCTCAGTACTCTTTCTTGCTCCCTCCTCTCTCTATCTCTCCTTGTGTGTGCGTACGTGCATGTACGTGCGTGTACGTGTACATATTTGCATACTTGCATAATCGAAAGATTTTTCATAAAAATGAAACAAGTCTAAAAAGTTAAATTTTCTGGAAACAAAAAACTGCATCTTTGAAAGCCATTCATTATGTAAATATAATAATTTTAAACAATAAGGATCTTATTGTTTAAAAGACCATTCATGTGAAAACACAGCCAATAATTTTAATGCAGATATGTATAGATATAATATAAAAACAAAGGTTTTAGGTTTTGATTAAAAAGTTATATCTGAGTAAACGCCTGAAAACATGTGATAATTTAGGGAATTTTTTGCAGTTAAGTAATAAAATAAGTGAAAATTCTTTAATATGCATAGCTTAAAGAGATTCTAAACCAAAGACTGAACTTGATCAAGGTCGATAGTGCAGACTTTTTTAATTCCAAATTTGATAATAATAACATCTTTAATTCATTTCTTACATTATATTATATATCATTCTATCTCACTCATCAACATATATAGGATGGGGTTGGACAAACGCTATTAGCGCTATTTGTGTTATTCTATCTTCATCGTCCATTAAACGTCAAACAAGGATAATATGACACAAATAGCGTTGATAGCGCGCTCTCAGAACGCAACCAGAATGGACTAGCAATGGTGGTGGTGGGGGTAGAAACATGAGTAGAGTAAGAGGCAGATAAATGAATGAACGTTCTTTCTCTGTTTACTAGGCCTGATTGGTTACAGCAATATTGTTCAAGCAATTC